TTCTCCATTTGGGGAAGCACTTTGTGTTAACAGCTTCTTAATACAAGAGGCAGGTAAAGGATGTACTTACTCATTCCTCCCCATCTGATGGGGAACAACTGAAATTATTATTATATTCATTATTAATGTTATTATTATATTCATACCTCTGTGCAACATAGGCTTGTGAACAACTTTTGCTATTCTCAGCAGTGCAACAGTGTTGTAATGTGCTAAGGGTTTGTTTTCAATGCTTTGAGCAAAGACAAAAAACCCCAAACAAATCAAACAGGTTTTTAAATACTTTTTATATACTTTTTAATACTTTTTAAATACTTTTGTTGCTAACAAAAGTAAAAAAAAATTGTTTTAACACATGGGTCAATTGTATTGTTCTCTAATAATACTGGAAGATTCAATTTCACTTCATTTGCAGGCAATCAAAATATTTAAAACAAAATGCATGGTAGGAAATGGTGTGTATCAGATATCACCCACTGTCCTCTCAGAAAGCATTTGCAACTATATTCCTGTCATACAATGAAATACTTTGTGGCTGTGTGGTTTTCTGTTGTTGTGAGGCTTTTTAAAAGCATGATAAGGCACAAGAAGAAAAGTGTTTTTTAAGGTACTTCCTTGGCCTCCATAGTTCTGTAATCAGTTCCATGAAATGCCCTCAAGCTCGGTGGGTCAGCCTCGTCACCTTCACCTGCTGGGCTCCTTTTTCTGCTCATATATTGGCCCACAGAGCACCTGCAGCAATACTGATGCACATAATTTACCTTCTGCAGCCAAACCTCATTGAGATACTCTGCCCAAAGCTTTTCCACTGGTCAATACCACACACTAAGCTACAAAGCTGCATCTTCTTTTCCTCAACGGGAAAGTAAGTGACAGGCTCAAAGTCTCTTGTTTTGCCCTTGAATACCACCAAATTTTTGTGCTGCTCCTGGAAAAACTTCATGATCTTACAGGTATAAACTCACTCATTTCTCCCAGCAACTCCATGTAATGGTAGTGAGATTTCCCGTTATCCACAAATACTCAGTAACAAGGTTACATATCTCGCTTGGCAGACTGCTGGTGAGGGAGAAAGGACAAGGAAAATTACACAGGAAAGGAAAACTAAATGCTTCTCCCAATCCAATACCACTCCAAGTCCACTTAGTCACACCAAGTGCAGCAAGACACACACCTGCAAGCCCTGAGCAAAGGCACCCACAGATATTTCCCCACCTCAAGGTGACCTTATTTTATTATCACCAGTGCAGATCTGCTAACATTTGTAATCTCAGCACCTCTGTTAAGTACTTGTGCAATTGTCACTCCAAAGCTAAAAGCTGGGGAAAAAAATATCTTTTCCCTTAGCACTGCACAGATCATCCCAGGAACATGTACACAGTAGGGAACCATCTGCCTGCCCTGGTGGTATTTCTTTGTTCTGAACACCATCAATGACATTTCACTGTTAAAAAGTGAAAAAAAAAACAAAAACAGCTAAGCAGCCCCACCAACCAATATCAGCATACTTTACTGCTCATTACCTTGATGTAACCTCTTATTTGGGGGTAATAGAGGGCATTTATGGACACTGAGTATCAGCAATGCAGATGGTGCTTATATCTGCAGCCAGTGTAAGCAATGTAGCTGTTTTTAAACAGCCACTCCTGACTTCAGGTCATTAGAAATGCCATTTGAAGTGGCAAGTGGAATCTTCTACACCTACTGCTGTAGGTTCAGAAAAAATGCTCATATTGCATGGTTCAGAAAATAAAAAAAAAAATTGGAAACGGAATATGATCCATCTTTGAATGGAATGAAAAAAAGAAAAAAGCTACCTAAGTTTTGTGGAAAGGATTTAATGGACACAAATGTTTGCAATTAAAAAATTTAAAGAAAACACTTTGGTGTTTTTATGTAAACATTCCCCTGCTGCCTTGGAAATACTGACACAGCAACAGTGCACTGAGACATTGCAGAAAATAAAGTATTCCTTAAAGTCAAGAAAGAGCTACAACCACCAAAAAAGGTAAAAGTACTTACTGAATTATTTCAAGTTTACAAATAGTAAGATATTGTAAACATGTTTCTGCTATTTAAATCTCTGCTGCTCTTTAGCTGATTGCCAGTAAACTGCTAAATACACCAATGCCAAGTGGTTTTGATCAGCATTCCCAGGTGAAGGAAAAAAAATGCTGGACCCAGATTTTATAGATCAAAATGTCCTTTATTGTGTTGGGCTGAGGCATGCTAAACTTCATGATAGGGCAAAAACCAAACCTACGTACCAAAACAAGAGGGGAAAATAAGATCTTTATAGTTTCTCCAGCCAAGTTTTCAGAGATGTAATCTCTCCATGGGAAGAGTTACCAAAACCACTCCCACAGACACTATCAATTGTTGCAGTCCCTGTTAAGCCTATGACCTGAAAAGAAGTTTGGTAACTTCACTAGGCAACATTTCCACCACCACCAAGGCTGTTAGAACTGAGTCACATCACTTCCCTCAATGGTTACAACAGTCTCTGGGGCTTTTGGGTTTGATTTTATTAGAAAAAATGCTGCCAATGTCACTGTCTTCTCAAAACCACACAAACCTTGCAGGTAGCTGAGGAGCCTCCTGTGTGTTTTCCACCCAGCCACACTTAAAGACACACTCTGACTTCCTTCATGCATGTTTGCCCACGCAACTGGGCAAAAGGCTCCATACATACAGACTGGCTGATCAGACACTGCCCTCAGAACATGTCTGCTGTACTCACCAGATTTTTATAAAGATAACCAAGTTGATAAGATGATTTGAGACAGCAGAAGATGGGAAAGCAATGTTTGAGGCTTAAATTGGAAGTCACACTGAGTAACTGAGAAGATCTCATTAGAGACTGGAAGTAATTTTGCTCAACTGCAGATGCAACAGGCTACCTCATATGCAAAACATTCTGATCTTTAAAGATACATCCATGTACTAATAAGGCCAGAAGAGTAGTAATAGCCTTGTCATTTCAGATGCTTGGAATACCTCAAACTGAACTGCTGTACACAGGTGGAAGTTAGAAATCTCATTTATTTGACTCTACTTCTGCAACAGCTCAACTCTGAACGCCCCCAGCACATCAGCTTACTTAAAGAATTATGTATTTTTATCTTAGTCTTATCCCTATGTTGCAACTTGTTTTGTGCTGTCAGAATCACTGCACTAGTTTTGATTTGTTCTTTGCAATAACAATGCATATCAATCCAGCACATGAAAAAGCATACCTGTGGGAGAAAAAAGCTATCCTGATAGATATCCCAAAAAATAAACTTATTTGAAATTACTCCTCAAAAGTATGCTCCTTAATTCTACTTAACTGAGGGAAAGCTGTTTTTCCATAAGTTGCCCATCCTCCCAAACAAATCAAGTCTCACACACTTCATAAATATTCCTAACTGGAAATTCCATCAGTCTTACTGAAAAGCTCTGCCTTGTACCTTTGTACAAATGCCCAAAATCTTTTGAGCAAAGCATAAGAAAGTGCAACTACATCAAAGACATCGCCCCACACTATGAAATAGCACTTAGAGAAACAGTAGTTACAGAAAAATAACTTCTCTGTATTGCTGGTTTCCACTGCAGATCAGTTACCCCAAGAGTAACAGGATCATGGTTCAGTCCCAAGCCTCTCTCCAAGTGTGTGCTCCATCCTCACACAGCACGTAGCTATAGTTATCCCCAGTGTCAAGGACAGAGGCAAACCCATGCAGTAACTTAACTGCTGAAATTTGAAGAAACCCCTTGAAGTCCAACATTTTCATAAGAAACTAGTGTAGAAGGAAATCTCCTGCAGAATCTTACAGCAGTGTGGTGGGTTTGGAGCACACAGCAATGAGAGGCAAAGCACACATGCAACAGTAAACCCTAAAGCAAAGATGCACAAGTACCACAGTGAAATTGCAGAGTGGCTCAAAGAGAGTGAGGAAGAAAAACAGCAAAGGGAGGAGGTCCCACATGTTTCCAAAACACTGCTGCCAATAAAATGAAACACAATTTCATTATGAAAGCAGGCAGCAACTTTAAAGCAGCCACTGACACTGGAGAGCAAGGTAGAGCTCTGGCAATTCTCTACAGCAGACATGGAAGGCAGGGTGGTCTAACCCAGAAACAGTAGCAACCAGGAGACTAGGAGGTGACAGGGTGCCAGGAAGGGCACCAGACTGTATGAAAGCTGGAGAGAGTAACAAACAAACCCAAAACATTCTTGGCAGAAGGACCCAGCAAAGAACATTAGGAAGTGTTTTAGACTCCAGCTGGCCATGCTGCTCCCAGAGGATGCAAAAACCAAAACTGTTGCTGCTTTGCTGCTCTGAGTCTCTAGACTCAACAGTTGTACAATTTATCAGAGAAACAGATGAGACCAGTTTTTGCTCACCCTTCCTCACTCCACAGCCATCTCTTCCCAGACCTCTCCCCAAATCCTGCCACTATTACAGCACTTGCTCCAGCAGAGATGCCTGCAGTGATGCAGCAGCCATGTGGTTCATGTAGCAATGATGGTAACAAACACAGCACAGCCCAGTGACTAACCAACTTTTGATTTCTTAAAACAGGAGGGCAAGAGAAAAATGGCATGAGTGATCTGATGATTGAGCTTAAGCCCCTTCTTGAAAACAAAAAGTATTTTTGTAACATCTGTAAAAGTGCTCTATATTATACTGTACCAAGTGCAGGAATCACAGCATTCACTAGATCAGTTTCAGTTTGGAGGCCATTATATACGGGTATTTTAGTACTGAAGCTATTTCATTTTCAAGGCCTGATTTGTTCTATCACTGTCTCAAAAACTGGCAGACGAATAAGCTACAACAATTACAGCTACATTATGAAGTCTTTATACAAAATATTGGAAGAAAATTCCAAAGGCCGATTTATTTTCACTTGTTAGTTAAAATTCAGTTGTAAATCGTGTAAAAAGTCAGATGATAGAAAAAAAGTAAATACAAAATAGAAGTGGCAATACAAGAACAAGGGAGGAAAAAACCCGATAAGATTAAGAATAGCATTTAAATATAAAAATTTATTTAGGTGAAGTCACAAACAGTTTGATATCAATTTACAAACACTTTATGTTATGCATATTATTGGAAATATTGAGAAAGGGAGAGGAGATAATGGCAGCTTTTTCCTGAAACAACTAAAGGCAAACCCTTACCATCATGCGCATTACTGGATCATATTACCTTGACCATACCCCTTAGTATGTGATGAAAAAGGAGAAGAAAACAAAATACTGAGATGCAGAATGAAAACCATGAATCTATTAAAAAGATTTTCATGAACACCAGACGACAAAGGTCTAGTCTGATGGTCAGGATTTTAAGTATTCTACTAGGATAAAAACAGAATTTTAACTTAGGTAAATCATTATAACTGACGAAGAATTTTGTAATGCACTATTGGGCTATCCAGCAATGACAGCAATGGTTAATGCAGAACGATGAAGAGAGGACACTGAGCCTCACAGAATAATTCTGTTGACAACCTGAGTTATTATCCCGAGTGTATGATATACTTTTTTGAGTCAAATACACATTTATGTTGCAGATACTCCCAATGAAATGGCGAAAGTAACAGCTATAACAAGACAAATTATGATTTATTTTTTTTTAAACAAATATAATACATAGGGTTTTGAAGTATCCGGCTGTAATCTGCAAAGATCCAGGATTGCACACAAGTTTGGTCAAATGAGAAGATTTAATCTGTGCATTAAATTGGCTTTTACTTTCAAAGTAGTATTTTAGGGCAGGATTCTCCTCCAGGAGAGTGTTCCTGACCTCATTCACCCAGTGTTCAATTTATTCACCTTCCTGAATCTTTGCCCTCTTTGGATAGTCTGTGACAAGTGCTGCGCTGCAGGAATTCCTGTTTTCCAGCAAACTGGCTTGCTCTGCAGGTTTGTAGTCCATTGTTACAATTGCTGATTGGGTAAAATGAATTTCCTACGTCTTCTCTAGCACAGCTTGCAACGCAACAGAAGCAGAGGTAAAAGAATGCACTAGAATACCAGAGCTCCACTTAAACACCAACGGAGTCAGGCTGTTGGCACCAATAAGAAATTCTGTATTTAACAAATCTGCAAATATTTAAGAGCCAAAGTTATTCAGTTTTATAAATAAACTCACCCACTTAGTCTGACTTCCATCCCAACTGGTCCTCTGTTTTCATGGAGTCTGGGGAAAAAAAGAGAATTGTCTGAAGTTATACATACAGACATAAATTTGCAGGAATCTCAGCTATCCCACACATGCGCCAATTATCACTCTCAAACTAAAACTATGGTTTTTTCACTTTGTCTTTCCATGTAGAAAGTTAAAGCTCTTCACCAGTGCCTTACAAAGGACAGCTATCTTCAGACACAACACTTTGTATACTTCATTTTTAATGTTTAACCATTTGTGGAAATGCAGAATTAGAGAAACTAATGATGGACTAAACTAAATGATGCTGAAATTCAAGGAGTCTTGGACTAAAAAGGGGAATGAAATCCACTCAGGCTGCCTAACTCTATCCCTCAAAACTACAAAAACAAAATCAGTTCAAACCAACAATCTATGAAAAAAGGTTTTTGTAAAACACCTCCTCTTCCTCTTGACAGCATGAATGTGGAAAAGCTTAGGTTCTGTCCAAAGTCTTAAGCCCATAAAAGGCTCTTCTCTCCCACTTTAATTCTCCAGTTCTTTTTCCCAAGTGTGACATCACATCTTATTTTGCTGCAGTAGTTTTACACAACATAAACAGAGCCTGCAAGGAGTTGGGGAGATATGGGGAAACACACAGGTCGCCTCCAAGAAAATATTTCCTTGCTGCAACCTTGGCAATGATAAACTCATGATTTAGCCTAGGCCTCAGCTACATCTGACAGCTAGTCAAACCATCATTTCATTTAAAGACATGCATAAACAGCTATAAGAGACTATATGCTACCATTAAAAACCGCTTAATAACAGAAAGGTGGCTGAAAACACAATTAATTGCTCAAGTTTTACTTTTTCATTGTGCTCCTAAAGTACTACTCATTTTACAAACATTAAACTTTTGGTATTTTGTAACAGTTAAACATGTTTATTTTTTTCTTTATACACTTTCTGGGGAAAAAAAAATACAGCAAAGCCACTGATAAAAATCAACTAGGAAATTTCCATTAAATCAAAGGGGATCGAGTCCCCTGGTGCCTCAGCAGACAACCGAGCAAAGCTCAGCACTGACAGACCAGCTGCTGTGAGAGAAGTTACAAGAGTGGTTAACATGACAAGCTGAAGGTCCCCGTCTCAGATGACATGAAAGCTATAAGCCATTGCCCATCTGGTACTCACATAAGATCTGTAGAAAAACAAGAACTAAGCTGTTTACCTTGAGAATGGAAAAATGTAAACAGACATATCAGAAAGAGTTGCAGAACACAGAGCATCAACCACAGAAGGTGCAAGGCCAACAGGCCCGGGTTTATCTGTCTTACTGTGTGGTGTTTGCTCCCTTTCTTTGTCACAGGTTGGCCTACAGAAGTTACTTTTGATAGGTACCAAAGGCAAGACTTGGTGTGACACACCAAGCACTTTCAGATGCCTTGAAAAGGGACCAGGCTAACATGAGTCAAAGAACTTAGCCCCTCTATGTGGGTAATCCCAGGGAAGCACAGCATCTGATAAATTAGAAAAAATTCTTATGGAAGGTAAAGGTTCTTTCTATAGTTGTAAAAAAAAATAAAAATTGGTTAGAAACAAACAGCCAATATAACAAAATCTCTCATTCAGCTGGCATGAAACTCAGCATTCAGCATTTTCTGCACTGAGGATTTGGCAGACTGCAGTCACCAGTGTAAGAGAAGCAGCACAACCCCTAATACAGACAGGCAAGCCCTTTGTAGCTGTGGAGCTGTGTCATGCCTCAGGCAGGAGAAAGGGAGGCCTGCTGCACCCACCACAGGCTGTACCAATTCATATAGTGATGCCTATACTGAAAGCAAAACAACTTCACAAGATCCTCCCTACTTCTCCTAATCACACTCATGTTTTCCCACAAAACAGGCTTAACTTGTGAATTAAATCTAGTGAGCCCCAAACAAGACTTAATCTTCAAATCACGGCGAATTTGCACACTGTGGCCATTCTCATTGAAGTTTATCTTTATTCATATCAATTTTTTGCCATCCCACACTGTCTGCAACTGCCCACATGCTCCCATAGTAACAGGAGAGTCTGTACTCTTTGCCTTACATACAGGTAACTGTATTGCTGAGAAAGTTGATTTAAGACAACTCAGAGGAAAACAACAAAACCACAGAACATCTTTCTTCTAAAGTCTTCAGGAAAATGCAAAACTATACCAGAAGAAGGAATTAGCGGGGTTCCTATTTTCTGGTGGCCGGAGCAATAAATGCTCAAACATTTGCTCAGAGCATCCATCCACGTGCACACCTCTCACGGTGGCCAGCTGGGCACCCATGATAGCATGTCCCTATGGTCAGCACGAGCAAAGGGTCAGTGCCACGAGAAGAGAGCTGCCGACCAAGACCAGGGCACCCCCTTTCTCCTCTTCCCGTCCGAGGAAGCACCATGCCCAGCCAGCGGAGCAGAGAAACACGCGGCCATCGGCCCATCACACCTGGCTTTTCTCCTCCTGCTTGGGGCTCTGGCCCGGCGGTGGCGGCTGGGCCGGAGAGGCCGGTGTCTCGCTCTCAGCACGCGGGCGCCTGGGGACAAGCGACTTGAGGGGCGCCATCCACTTCATCCACAGGTCCAAGTCGACGTCGCCCCAGGGCAGAGAAGGGTTCTTGGCCGCCCGCCGCCGAAAGTCCTCATCGTAGTTCATCCAGGACGTGCCCCCGTAGGTGGCGTGCAGCTTGCGGATGGTGTCCAGGTACTTGAACATGGCTCCGCAGCGCGCCGGGTGCTTCTCGCACAGCACGCTGGCGTACACCAGGAAGGCCGAGACCCACTGGTCCAGCGTGTCCCCCGGGCGCGGGCCGTGCTCGGGGGCCAGCTCTGTGTGGAGCAAGGAAAAGAGGTCAATGAACTCCCCCCGCCAGATCCGCTCCTTGGTGGCCTTGGCCAGCTTGTAGCCCAGCGGCCGCCGCAGCCCCACGTAGGGGGTGGCCGCCGCCTCGGCCTCGCCCTGCCCCGCCGCCGCCGCCGGAGCCGGAGCCGGGGCCCCGGCCGCGCCGCTCGCCGCTGCCGCCTCGGCGCAGGGGCTGGCGGCCGCCGCCGCCGCCCCCAGCGCGGCCTGGCGCTCCAGCCAGCGCGGGTTCACGTAGACGGTCCGCAGGCGCGGCGCGGCCCCGGCCGCCGCCGCCCGCGCCGAGCCCTCGGCGCCGGGCTGAAGGCGCAGCACGGCCAGGGCGGCGGGCGCGCCGGCGGGCAGGTCGCTGCCGTCCCGCCGCGGGGCCGGCTGGGCCGCCGCCGGCACCTGCAGCAGCGAGGGCGCCGCCCAGGGCGGGGAGCCGCCTCTAGGCCCGGCCGCCGCCGCCAGCGCCTCTAGGCCCGGGAGGCCGAGCCGCGAGCCGGGCGCCACCGCGCCGAGCACCCATCGGGTCTCGGCGATCCCGGTGCGGTCCCGGGGGCTCCGCGACCTCCCCTCCTCGCGGCGACCGGCGAGCGCCGTCCCCAGCGTCAGCGGGGCCGCGACTCCGGCCCGGCGGCGGCGGCGGCTCCGCCGCCTCCCACGTGGCATCGGCACGGCGGCTCCGGGCGGCGCGCGCGGCGGGGGGCGGGGCCGCGCGGGGCGGGGCCAGAGCCCGGATCCCCGCCCCCGGAGCCGCCCCCGCCGTGCCGCGGTCCCCGGGACGTTCCATGGGTCTGTGGCGCTGGAACACCCGGTGGGAGCACGGAGAGCCTGAATAGTCTCGCTCTCCCTCCCTCGAAAGGTAACCCCCGGTACCGGTGTATATATATGCGTGCTCTCTCTTTATGTGTATATCTGAACGTACACATATTTATACGTATATACACACATATACAAATATGTACACCGTCTTTAGTTATATATGCGACAGGCTATACAATGTATTTCCACGCTGAATATATTACTTCTGTCAGGATATGTAATAGGCACCGCGATGTCATTATTGCTTCACCACAGCAAACGTTTTGAGGAGTAATGCTATTACATCCCTTCTCCCTTCTCGTATAAATTAGCTTCATTTTCTCTTTACAGAAAATATTTTTTGGGGTTTTTTTGTGGGGTTTTTTTTGTTTGTTTCTTCGTGTTTTTTTAATTTAATTTAATTTTTTGTTTTGTTTTGTTTTGCATGCCGTCACACAGATTCAGCTTTCCTAGCTAAGCCCTGAGTAGGTCACCAGCTGGGTGATGGTTGAACCCCACTGGAGCCAAAGGTGGGTGCTGGCTCCTTGTGTGGACTCGTGCACCCCACTCCTCAGCAGCTTCCACAAACACTTCTGTAGCACTCTCTCTTCTGGAAAAGCAGCCTTGAGTGCTGTACTTAAATGTCTATAAATCAATTCCACTGCAATAAAGATAAAAGCTCTGTAAAAATAATAGCAGTTCTTTAATTTTCACAGAATGACTGGACGAGATGCATTTTAGATAAAAGTCTTTTTGTCCAAAAAAATCATATCCCAGGAATGACAAAGTTAGGAAATCTTCTGTAAGAAAAAAGTAAGGTTAAAGAGTAGCTTTGTGTTTTTTTATTTTTTAATGCTTAATCAATTCTAAAGAAATAATTAGAGTAACAAAAAGTTACTATTTTCCAAAACATCCTTATTTTCAGGGATTTTTCAGAAGTCCTAACAAAATAGGCTTTATTTAATTTTTGAGATAAATACACCCTCATTTTGATAAAAAATTATTGTTATAAAATTCAACCAAAACAAGTGACAGTATCTTCTTAAACTGAAAATTTCAGTTTAATGGGGCATTAATAAAACCAGACATTATTAAAATAATAGAAAGATCATCTTTTCTCTAAAACTTACCCATGTAACACACCTGTTATTAAGTCAGGTGATAGGCATTTACACAAAGTCTCTGAAAATTTTCTGAAGGTTAAGGTTTTCTTGACTTTGATTCAAAACTAGTTTTTGTTCAGAACCAGAAAGTGATTCAAGTTGGAGGGAACCTCGAGAGGTCTGAAGTCCAACCTTCTTGTCACAGAAGGGCAAAATCTAAACTAAGACAAGATTGTTTAGTTCTTTCTTCAGTTAGATCTTGAAAACCGTAAGTGATATAAATTCCACAACCTCTTCCAGTACTGATGAGTACCCTTGGTTAATCCAGTCACCTTTTTCTCCTCTATGTGCCCTGAAATGGCTTCCAAGAGAACTTGCTTTTGTGATTTTCCTGAAGTGAAGCGACCAGCCTGCAGCAGCCTGGGTAGTCCTTGCTCTTTTTGAAGACAGGCACAAGTTTTAGCCTTTTCCAAGCCATTAGGTACTTCTCCAAATTTTGATGGCCTTTCAAACACAGAAAGTGGACTTTAAGTGACATCGTCCATCTCTTTGAGCATCCTCAGATTCATCCACGCTGGCTCCTGAGACTTGCGTGGGCTGTGACTCCTCAAGAAAAGATCCACGACTTGGTCCTTTTCCCCTATTTACAGGTTTTCTCACCTTGAGGCATGAATCCTGGGAGACTGTTAGAGAAGGTCAAGCCAATGAAGGCATAAGCAGAATAATGAAATCATGTTGTGCCACTTCTACGGATTTTTATATACCTCCAAGGACAGTGACTCCACCACTTCCTTGGGCAGCCTGTTCCAGTGTTTTGCCTCAGAAAAGAAGGGCTAGCAACATCAGATCAGCTAGTATTATCTCGCAGATATGACTGCCCAACCAGTATCTGGTGGGTGTAAGTTATCCTTAAAATTTGGGAATTAGGACTGTATTTTTGTCCTGTGCTTGTACCATGCCTACTAGAGCTCAAGCCTCTTTCAGGGTGGTGCTGCCAGGTCTCACAATAATGCAGCTCATAGTGATAATGAACAGAAACTTCAAAAATAATCAATATGTGCTTTTATTTCTGTTTCCCCTGAAAGATGCAGACAGAAGCTAAGACCAGTAGTGAAGTTGTCTACATGAAGCATCTCTATACATATGCTGCATTTGCTCTTTGAATTCCAGCTGGCATCCTCCAGGTCTCTGTCTCATAAAAACTATGATTTTTCATGAGGACTTTCATGAAGAAAACCAGCTGGGCAGTAGGTAATACCTGGGCTGAGGCAGGTGGAAATAAGAATGCTTTGCCTCCATTTAGTGTTGCTGCTCATAAGCTGACGTATGCTCCTAACTATGCACTTATCTGATCGTTTCAGTCTCCTCTCACAGGCTGTGTGTGCAGTGTGTAAGGATCTGAATTGGAAACTTGGAGGTTTGCCTGCTGGCAATCAGCTGTGCCCAAGAGCATCAGCCCTTCAAAGTGGGCAGTGCACCTCAGAGTGGCGGGAACTGTTTCTGGTGAATTTTGGATTCAAATGTGATTGTCCTCTTGACTCCTCATGTGATGAGTTCCTTACAGCTCTGAATTCCCCTCTCTGCTTTTTCCTCCTGTCTTCCTGTCCCTTTATGTTCCCATGATATGTTTGTAGAGGGCAAAAAAAGCAAATACTTGGAGCCACATATATGTGTAGTTGTATTGCAGATGTGTCTCTCAACCAAATCGCTAGAATGGGCATAGAACTGCAGAAACAAATGCAGATTTTTTTTATGCTTCAGACCTTCTTTTTAGTCTCAAGCATGAGACCTTATTGAAGGCATTAATGAGGAGGCAAAATGAAATGAAGCTTTAAACAGAAACAGCTGCAACCTTAGCTGTGGAGGAACATGGAATTAGGCAATAGGACAGTTTATTAAAATAAGAGGGGAAAGCTACTTTGCAGACAAAAGAAAAAAAGTCCTGTTTGCAAACACTACCTAAAACCAAGAACACTTCCCTTTGAAAGTGGGTGTACTTGTGTACTGTTGATCTTTATGAACCTTAAAGAAAGACACAGAAGAGAGAACTGTCTACTGTACTGATGAAACCAGAAAGTGCTGCTGTGGAGCATTTACCTGCATTGCCTCCAGGACCCCAGAGAGAACAACATAACCCTGCACTAGGGTTTGAGGAGAAAATGCAGCATGAGGAGAAAATAACCCTTGTGTCATGCTGAAGCACTTTTTTTTTTTATTTTTTTTCCCCCTCCCCCCCAAAAAAACCCAGTCTTTTTCTAGAGAAATTTTCTAAGAGCTGCCTGCAATGGTTTTGGGAGACTGGAAGGTTTGTGGAGCTGGTGGGTTTTCAAGTCAAAAGAAGAGTGCTTAGGCCCCATGGAATCAGCAGTCTAACTGTGAGTTCATCTGAGACTGGAGAGGTTTGCCACTTGCACAGGAGTTGTCCTTGGGCATCTTCCACTTACTGCCACAAATAAAAGTAAGTCAGGAAGAAAAACAGGATTTGGTGTTGAGCATTTTGCTTTCGAACTCAAAAAATGTAGTGTTCATTGACACAATAGCAACAAACCTAAACCCACCCATGAAGATAAAGGTCACTTAATAAAGTTTAAACACCAAGAAAAAGATGGTGTTGGGGATCCAGAAAGAACCTGACAAGCATCGCTGCTGAACTACCCCAGTGAGGGGAGAAGGACTCAATATGCCCCACTGGGAGAAGAGGCAGAAGTCAGATTCTGCAGCTGAGGGGATGCTTCTTTCACTCCAGGTGAGGAAAGAGCTAGTTGCCTTCATGGGGCTGCATTGTCCCTCTCTGTGTATTCTTTACAATTCTTTACAATTTTGTTTTTCTCAAGTTTCTTCTGTCTCTCTGCTAAATGTTTCCTCGCCTATGCTTGGAGTGGGAACAGAGAAAGTCTCAATGGAAGATAAATATGTTCAGTTACTTGTCCTGAGGAGGCTTAGCTCCACTGGTCCCACTCCCTTCTCTTTCTGTGGCCGTGAGGTACTCGGCAGAAGAGTTACAGGTCTCGGTGACCCACGCTGCCTGTGGGGCTCACGTCCATGTGCCCTCAAAGTATACGTTTCAGAGGACGTGTAAGAGAGACGTGGGCCAGAACACAGTTGCAAGTCGAGCTCCGTTGAAGACTCTATCCCGTGTGCTGCATCTTGTTTACTGCTGTGAGTTTTTCCTGGGACATCATCTCTGTCCGACACATCCGGGGCGAACGGGGGGTCCGTAAGCAGCAGCCGGGGCCGGAGTGGGACGCGAGGGGCTCAGAAGGGTCAGACCGAGGCATTGCTGCACCTCGGGAACGATCTTCCCGGAAAATAGCTGTCCGCCGCTGCTCGATCCCTCCGCGAAACGCAGCTGCACCGTCCCAGGCCGGCGGGGCTGCCTCCCCCGCGCCCCGACGTGGGCGTCCCGCGGCCGCACCGAGGTGCAGGCGACACCGGGCGCGGCTCTTCCCGCCCCGTGCGGGGAGGCAGGCGGGCCCGCCACCGCAGGACCCGACGGGCGGTGTGTGTGTGTGTGTGTGTGTGTGTGTGTGGCGGCCCGCGACTCCCCTGCGCGTCGCGGCCGAGGGGGGAGTGACTCTGGCAGCCTGCGACGAGCACAGATAAAAGCTCCGCTGCTGCCGTTTTCCCTCCCCTTTTCTCTCGTAACTTTTTTTTTTTTTTTTCTCCCTCCCTCTCCCTCCCAGCAAAGTGACCGCGCCGGCGGCAGCCCCGGAGCAGCCCCAGCGCCGGACGCCGCCATGAGCCCCGCGGTGCCGCCGTCGGGCCGCGCTGCCGGGGGCTGAGCCCGGCCGCGGGGGACGCCCCGAGAGCCCCGTGGCGGGGGCTGGAGGCAGAGGCAGCGAGAGCCCAGGCGGGACCCCCGGCCGCCCCGCCGTGCCCAGGGCAGCGCCCGCCGCGATGTCGGCGCAGAGCCTGCTGAGCAGCGTCTTCTCCTGCTCCTCCCCGGCCGCCGCCGCCGCTCCTGCCGCCAAGAGCCTCTCCAAGCGGAGGCTCCGCCAGACGCGTAGCCTCGACCCCGCCATCATCGGCGGCGGCGGCCGGGAGGACGGC